GGGGGGGGGGGGGTTCTGGCAGCGCTGCTCCCCACTTCCCTCCCTCTTTTCTTTCCAGCTATGGAAATTAGCTTCTTGCAGTGAGGAAAAATTATCCTCCTTCCAAACATTACGGTGGGTCCCGTTGGAGTCTACCAACATACCTTCCTCTCGAGCCACTTTCCTGCTTTCCCTTTGGTATTTAAATCCTGGATCTCAAGCTGGGCGATTCAGCTTTTAGGGGGCAAGTTTGAGAAGACTTCAGACAACGCTTACCTCTTCACCCTGTCCCTTTCAACTTCATAGGTTGGTCCCCGCTAGCTTCGAACATATTTGCTGATTTGGGGACTCAGAAAAATGGGATTTACATACCGTGAATAACCTTTGACATTTCCTCCCCATTTCCAAGGTTGATTCCACATGATTTCCAGCTTGTCTCCCCAATCTCCCCCCACCCCTTCTAGTACACCCGTGATAAACACACACAGAACTGCAGGTTTCAAAGAGGAAAAGAAGCAAATTTGTTGTTGGTAGGGGAGCATGAAGGGGAGGGTTCTTCACCTTCCCCAACATCTTGTAGAGATGGGAGGTTGAGGGAGTGTAGAAACTTAGATGGAAGCCTTCCACTCTGTGTACAATATAGAAGAATCTTTGATAGACACTTTGTATAAATACTCTATCTCATTTGTGTCCCTCTTACTGACTGGCTGGGCTGGGGGCACTGGGGGGAACAGAAGCTGGGGTGGGCCAGGACAGGACACCCTCCGGCCTTATCCTCTGGCTCCCTTGGGGTCACTTTGGATCCTTGGTGGGGGCATAGCAAAGCTCCAGTGGCCGGGACACCTTCCAGAACTTCTCATTCACCAGTTCCAGGGTCAGCGAGCCATTCAGTGTCTACAGAGGGGGTAGAAGAGAGAGGCAGGGTAAGAAAAAGTTGGAGAAGGTGGTAAAGGATATGAATGAGAGGCAGAAAGTGACCAAGGGAGGAAGAAAAGAAAAAGGAATAATAAAAAAGGTGGGGTAAAGCAGGGGCATAGGGAGTGAGTAGGAAGAAGATAAGACACAGACGTGAGATGAGAGATGCAGAGGGAGAGTGGAGGGTGGGCTAGTTAGGTCAGGATCCAGGGTCTGTGTGGCCCCAGGCCATCCTCCCAGCCTCTCCCCTCTTATAGCACTGCCCTCAGAGGCTCTCACCGTGAAAGCTCCACCCCCGGGGGCGATGTAGATGGTGTACTGCTTTTCACTGACACCTTCCAGACTGGGCAAGGCAGGCTCCTCAGGGCCGTCACCTCCTCCGGTACCCCCACCCTCTCCACCACCCCCATCAGGTCCCCCGGCATCAGAGGCGCCCCCTCCAGGCCCTCCTGGCTCCCCGGCTTCTTGCTGCTGCCTCCGCTCAAGGGCAATACGCAGGGCCAAGTACTTGGAAAGATGGTCCACTGTAGCATTCCCAGTTGTCTTCACATACCTGAAGTGGGAAAGAAGGCACGTTTAGGGGACAGGAAGCCGCAAATGGAAAAGGGAAGTAGGGGATTTTCCAAAAGGGCTTCTGGGTTAGGGTTTCTTTCTGGGTTTGGGTGAAGCCCACTTCTGATGGACATCTATATGATCTTTTTGATTTCTCAGAGGTCAGGGGAAAGACAGGGCTCTCACCTAGTCTGGCAGTATTCTCCCTTCTCCACGAGCAGGGGGTGGGGCCGGAACACGAGCTCAATTTCTCCGCCTGGCTCCGGGGGACTGGGGGCCCCAGGAGGGCTTGGGGGGCCTAGGGTTCCCCCTCCCAAAGTCCCTCCCCGGTCACCAGAGTCTTCAGAACCGGCGCCCCCACCCACCCCGCCGGTGCCACCTCCCCCTGTCCCTACACTGCTCCCCCCTGCACCCCCGCCACGGGGTCGCTTGGGAGCAGGGCCTGGGGCAGAGTCAGGGGCAGAGTCTGAGCTCACATCCTCTCCATCCCCCTCTCCCTCCCCAGGCTCTCCTTCCCCCCCACTCATCGTGGTGGTCTGATCTGACCCGGGCATCGGCCGCCTCACACGCTGGGCCCTGTAGAAGCAAGTGGTTGAGGTTAGAAAGCACCACAGATAAGGGGTTTAAACTTTAAACTTAAGAGAACAAGAGATCAGGGAAATCTTAATGATGACACCTAATATTTATTAAACACTAACTACACGCCAAACACACTGCTAAGTATTTTGCACTGATCGCCTCACATAGTACAAATCTTAGAAGCAGGTGATTATATTCTATTTATGGTTGAGAAAACTGAAGCTTAGAAATGTTAGATAACTTGTGTGCAACCACAGCCTCTTGCCTTTCCACATGGACTCCAAGAACCAGTCGCATAGGTTTGTACAAATGCAGAATTTCAGGCCCAACTCCAGACCTACTGAATTAGAATTTGCATTTTTCACAGACCCTCTGGTAATCTGGATGCTTATTAAAGACCGAGCAATGCTGGCCTAGAAGGTCATTTAATTCCACGCAAGGTGAATCCAGAGTTTATGCTCAAAATCACTCCACTGTTCTAACTTCTAGAAAGTTAGAGGGTGAGATAATTTTTTCTTAAGAATAGCAGTACCAGTTGCTAACTAGGAAGCTGCAATTTACACCCCTGGCTTCCAGACCTTGACAATCAGGCTGTGGTTAGCTATTAAGATGCTAAGGTTTAGAAGCTGGCAGGCAGCAAAGACGGCACCAGGAGTCTGACCCACGGATCTGTCCCCACCAGCCCTGCTATCGCCTCTCTCCCGGCCCGAACCTGTGCATGGCCTGCATACGCAGCCCCTCTTCAATGCTGGAGCTCAGTGCCTGTTGGTTGTGCAGGCGACTGAGGCGGATGAGCACCCGGTCTTGGTGGGCTTCATATTCCTCCCGGCTGGGATAGATCTTAGAGATCAGGGCATCAAAGTTGGGATCTGGCCGCAGAGACCGCTTGGATACCAGCTTCTTGCGGCAGGTAGGGCACTCCTTGTTCCTGGGGTGGGAGAGAGGAGGCCCTCAATGAGTCAGTCTCAGTTGCTAGGACACTGAGGCCCCAACTCTGTACCCTTCACCCCATCTCAAACACATCCCTCCCATTACCCGCTCCGCAGGGCCGTGACAATACAGTCGGAGCAGAATCGGTGGAGGCACTCCTTGGTGGTCATTGTATTCTTCAGCATGTCCAGGCAGATGGGGCACATGAGTTCTGAATGCAGTGACCGAGGGGAAACCGCAATCTCTGTGCCATCCATGATGGCTTCCTGGAGACATCAGTGAGTGGAAAGGTGATGGTGGGTTGGGGGGAAAGGGGTTTTAGAAACAGGTGGTCAATGGAATGGGAGTTTTGAGAAATACAGTGAAATAACAGAATCTGGGTACCCCGTGTTGACCACTTGAGGAAGACGGGAATTCTGAGAAAGAGGAGCTAGTGACTTGGAGAGAATGGAGAACAGAAAGAGTAGTGTCCATTAACTGAAAGTAGGAGCTTTGCAACAGGAGGATCTGAGGTTTGGTCAGAGGTCTGGGGCAGAGGTGGCACAGATGTGGGGTTTGGGGAAGACTTTCTCAATCTAATTTCTTAAAGTGTGGTCTGGGTGCAACCTGTATCAGAATACCCTATGGTGCTTGTTTAAAACACAGATTCTGGGGCCCCATCTCATGGTATCAGAATATTGGCAAGGCGTGGTGAGGGGGTGGGTTGCGCAGGGGAGGGCTCCCTTTCTAGTAAACTTGGAAGGAAAGTCTTATATGCATTGACCTTTGACACTGAACTGAGGAACACTGAAGGTAATGTCTATGTGTTTACTATTTTTCAGATGAAGGCAGTCATAGTCGCCCTACATCTGTGGCAATAGCTGATGTGAGAATGAAACGAGATAAATGTGAAAGTGCTTGGAAAAGATTAAGGTGATTCAAAGGTGGGGTCAAGGGAGTCTGTGACATCCGGCAGGGTCGGCAGAATAGGGCGAAAAATGGAAAAGAGGCTGTGAGATAGGGGTCTGTTTGAAGGGTTTGGGGAAAGGGAGTAAGCTGTGAAAGGAAAGTCCCTATCACCTGCGGGGTCCGGTGGAGCTCGTATAGACTCAGTTCCCACGTTTTGC